GTTATGCTTACCATAGTAGTGCGTACAGACTTATCTTATATAAATCTGAAACACCTAATGTGCATGTTAATATAATTATTGATCGAGGGATGTTACATTTTTCAAAAATATTTTTCCTTATAATATGCAAAGTAAATTAAATTCACAGAAGAAGACCTCGTGAAAAATAAAGAGGTTATAGTCAAGAATCTATAAATGAATAATCTAGACACAGTATGAGGGCTAGGACGTCAACCTCCTTTGGGCCTTATTTTTTAATATATTTGTTAGAAAATGAACATCAAAGTCTTCATATTGGAAAGAAACTATTCATAATTAAATTGAATCCATGCTACAAAATTATACATAGAAATTAGTATACCTTCTCAACGTCAATAAGCCATTGGACATAAATAGATTTTAAAAAAGAAAATGAAAATAGATGGATTAATTGACAAATATAAAGCTAGACTTATTGCTAAAAACTACAAGCAAAAAGAAAGTCGTGATTATTTTGATACCTATTCTCCTGTAACAAGAATGAATTCCATACGTATTCTTATTGCGATAGCAACGTTAAATAGTTTGGATATACATCAAAGGATGTTAAAAAAGAATTATTTGAACAATGAATTAGATGAAGAAATTTATATGAAACAATATGAAGGATTTGTGGCCTCAAGACAAGAAAAGAAAGCGTATTGATTTGTTAAATCACTTTATGGGTTAAAGTAGGCTCCTAAGAAATGACATGAAAAATTTGACATGGTTATGGTGTCAAATGATTTCGAAATTAAAGAGCATGACAAATGTATTTATGTCAAGAGCGCTCAAAATGGATATGTCATGATATGTTTATACGTAAAATGACATGTTGATTATGGATAACAGTGATACCATAATACAATCTACTAAAATGACGTTAACAAGTAAATTTGAAATGAAGGATTTATGTGTGGTCGATGTTATATTAGGAATTAAAATTTCTAACATATGTGATGGTCTCATATTATCTCAATCACACTACATTGAAAAGATTATTGATAAATTCAAGAAATATATAATATTATTCCTATGAAAACACATATTGATGCTAGTATGCATCATGTTTCGAACACCGACGATAATAAGTCTCAATTGGATTACTCTTGTATTATTGATAATTTAATGTATGTCATGAACTCTCGACCTGATATTGTTTATTCAATTAATAGGCTAAGTTGATATATGAGTAATTCGAGCACTGAGCACGGGAAGGCAATTGTATAGAGTTTTAGGGTTTTAAAACATACAAAAAACTTTGGATTGTATTATTTGAGATATCGAGCAGTACTTGAAGGATACTGTAATGCAAGTCGGATATCAGATACTAAAGATCCTAAGTCAACAACTGGATATGTCTTTACACTTGGAGATGTTGCAGTGTCACATAAATCTCCAAAACAAACATATATAGCTAGATCAACAATATAATCCGAATCCATTGCTCTAGATAAAGATGAAAAGGAAGCAGGATGGCAAAGAAATCTTTTAAAAGATATTCCATATTGGGTAAAATATGTGCCTGATATATGTATCCATTGCGATAGTCAATCGACAATTGGAAGGTCACAAAATACTATGTATAATGATAAATTTTGACATATACATCGTAGATACAATACCATTAGACAATTGCTCTTTACTGATATTATCTCTAGAGACCATGTGAAATCAAAAGAGAATATTGTCGATCTGTTAACCAAAGGTTCAATGAGAGAGAAAATTGAAAGTTTCATCAATGGGATAGGGTTAAAATTGATAAAATAACCAAGAGTTTTCATGGTGGCAACCCAACCTAGTTGATTGGAGATTCCAAAATCTAGGTTCAATTGGATAACCGAATTGTGAAAAACTCAATGTGCACTAGGAAGGTCTACATCCTACTCATTCTTATGATAAGCCAGTGTCTAACTGCTACGAAATAGGTTATGCTTTTAATGATATCTATATCTTGATTCGTTCAATTGAAGGAAAGCAGAATACTCTTTATGGAAATCACCTGTGTGAATGTGAAGGGGTGACTTCTAAGAGAGTTATGTGAAGATTGATTCTCCAAAAACCATTCATGAACTAGGAGGTGTCCAATGCCTAAATGGACACAAACGCGAGAACCAATTGTGTTTAAAGGGAAATGTGTGACTTATATTGTCTAGGTTTACACGAACAGCTGACTGTTCAAAACATTTTGCTACTGATTGACCAAGTAAATCCGATAGATTTTACTAGAAAAAATTCAATGTCTTTGACTACTTATCCGATGTAGTTTTTTTCATTTATACTTCGAAAATTATATTAGATTGTTGAAAAATAGTTCATTATTAAAGAAATGGGTCAACTTTAAGCCTCATTTTCAGTGTGACCTGTACTTTAGTTTTAACGAGATCAAGCATATTCACGTTATACTTCGCGAGGTAACTAAAGCGATATATTTATTTATTGAAAATCATTTAGAATTAAATGAAATAATTGATGTCAAAATAACCCACTAGAAACAAATAAACTAGTGAAGAATTTGATTTATTGAAAATTGCTAAACACTTTATCCCACGCAGGATAGTTAAAAAAGTTTGGTGTTGTTTGTATAGTGAAAGTTTAGGAATTGGGTTTTGACTCCAATAGTCTTCGAGGAGACCTATATTCTATCAGGTTCGATCCTAATCCACATGTGCACCTCCGTTGTTCGTCTTGTCGGTCGACTTAGCTAGGCTTGGCTTAACATGAGCACGTGCAAGTGCTCATGTCCGAGTCTAGTCCAGTTCGAGTTCGGGTGCAGATGTGTCATTGTACTATATTAATTTTTTAGATAAATTTATTTAAATTATTTGGGTCAAATTGTAATTAATCAAATTCTTGGGGTACTAAATGAAATTAATTTTGATTGTCTTATTTCAGGTTTTTTTTTGTTTGGATGGCTTGTTAACTGATGTAACAGTCATTTGTTAATCGATTTAACAGACGTAGTATTGAACAATACTATCTATTCGAGTTTGGAAGCTGTGTGAATAGTGACGACTATTTTGAAAACGTTTGAAGGATGTTCGAATGGACACGAAAGAGTTTGTAAATGGCCTGCCCCACTGTCAGAATAATTACACAATTTTCATTGCAAACATTCTTTACTTTAAATCTCATTCTCTCCCCTTCGATATTGTTTTTGAAGTAAAAACACTTTATTGAGTTCGTTGAAACTCCTGCAGATTGCTTTCTTGCTTCTGTAGGCGAAGAAATTTGTTCTATTTTTGGGAACTATTGCTAAACACCTTTAGCACATGCAGAGGTAGCAAATTCGTTTTAAATAAATATCATGAAGTAGGTGGGCTTGAATTAATATTATGATTTTATTGATTATCTCATCACACTATGCAAATTATAATACGAAAATTCTATCGGTGTATTATTTTTAGATTGTTTAAAGGAAAAACATATACTCCACGAAAAACAATCATCACATCCAACTCATCATTTTTATAAAATAACAGATGTAATGATGTTTTGGTAAGTTCATTCTCAGCCTCAGTTTGTCTACTTTAACAAATTAAATTGTTTGCTACAATAATATTCTTTATCATATATTTACACAATAAAATATTTTACACACAAATTAATAAAATTTTATGAAATTTTAACCACACATTTTAAAAAAAAATACTATTCAAAATTTTATAATTTATCCCATAAACAGTCTCTTAAAAATTAAGATAGTAATGGGACAATGAATGAGGTGAAAACTCAAAAAGAATTTAACCGTTTAATAATCTCTATCTCCAAATGGGTTAATTTCAGAAACGGTCACTGAACTTATCAAAAAATTACAAAACGGTCACTGAAGTTTAAAATTTTCAGCAACGGTCACTGAACTTCTGGGTGGTTACACTAATGGTCACTTAAGTTTACAGAATTTTCCAAATGGTCACTGAAGTTACCAAAATGATTCTACGTCAAACTTAAGGACCAAAACACGTGACCAAAGAATATTGAGGACCGCAGGTGCAAATTTTCGACCAAAAAACCCCCAAACCCGGCGACTTTTAATTCCAAAATTTGGTAAATTAGAGCCGTAATTTCTGTAATTGAGCGGTTACCCAGCCTCTTTTGAACCTGAATGTCAGTTTCCCCAAGTTGATTTGCATATTGGGTCACCTTGGAGCCTCCAATTGATGGATGAAATTCATTTTCTCGCGAGCGGACTTGGTGCAAATAATCCAGAAACTGGCTCAATTTGATGGTTAATTGGTGCAATTGATTTATGACCCAGCATACTGCCAACCTGAATTGAAGATATTAAGGGTGAATTTGATGATTGGGACGGTGTAGAAACCTCAATTGAAGGTGGACAAACCGGGCTGCCTTGCGTATGAAATGTCCGACCTGTTCATCCACTTTGCACCCAAATTGGTGATGACCCCATGGCTGGAATAGGTGCTTCATGGAAAGAGGATGCTAAGATAGGTGTTCCGCGATCATGGGAACCACCACCGTCGCCGAAAAACGAGTTAGTCGGCCGCGAGTTCGCTGTTTCGAAAAAAGGCTCTATATTTCGATTTTCTTGGTTGTTTGTTGTTAAATGAACATGGATTGATGCGTCTAGATGAGCTTGAGCGATATGTGTTGTGTGATTAACATGGGCGTCAATGGAGTTGGACGAATTTGGAGAAAAGTCGGGGCAGTTTTGGACGATTGGGAAATTCATTTTGGCCGAAAATTTGCCCTTGAGGTCCTCAATATTTATTGGTCACGTGTTTTGGTCCATAAGTTTGAAGTAGAATCATTTTGGTAACTTCAATGACCATTTGTGAAATTTTTTGAACTTAAGTGACCATTAGTGTAACCACCCGGAAGTTCAGTGACCATTGCTGAAAATTTTAAACTTTAGTGACCGTTTTGTAATTTTTTGATAAGTTCAGTGACCGTTTCTGAAATTAACCCAACTCCAAATACTTTTGATCTGCGGGCAAATCGGACAAGTTGGCGGTCGACGCGAAGGGTACACTGGGGACTGATTTGACCCTCTGTCCAACGCTCTACGCAACCTCAATCATATTCATTTTCTAGAATTTCTTTCCACTTTCCCTTTCACCTCCTTTTCTTACAGACAAATTCCATAAATTTCACTGTCAATTTGGTAATAAATCGTTAAGTATCTAAGTTCAGTCATCAATGCAAGCAGTGCAATGCCCAAGACATGGCTTCCGCTATAACGGCACTCTCTGTGCATGCGACCCTGGCTTTTTCTACAATCTCAGCAGCAACAGCTGTGGGCTATTGGCTGAGTTGGGCTCGGCAGTGGAGCAGAACAGCGGCGTCGATTCTGAATCTACTCTGGCATTCCCTGAGACCATATTCTCCTTTAACTCCATCAAGAAGTTTACCCAGTCGCAGGCTGTTTTCTTAGAGGCCACTCTTGCTATGCTCCTCTTCTGGCTCGGCTTCTGCCTCCTCCTCCGCCTCTTTCCCCTTGGAAACGATGGCCGCTCACCCTGGTTCAAGATTCGCTGGTGGATTAGCCGTCTTGACATCTCCTTCGCTACTCGGCACTGGCTTGTAAGTCGTCTACTAATCAATTCCTCAGTTACTGATATTGTCAATTTGCTTATCCAATTGATGGTACTATTTATGGGTTTGGGTAGGAAGACCAGCAGGTGGTGAAGAAAAGGAAAACAGAGCTTGGTGGGACTTTCTCGATTGCTAGTTGGATGCTCTTTATTGGTTTGTTCGCTGCGTGAGTAATATTATCATGGTTAATTTTGTTGCGCAGTTTACTTTTCTACTGCTTTTTATCCATCTTGAGGGACCTACCTCTGCTTGTTATATTTATGGTTTGTGTTATTTTTAACCTACAGGTTGCTCTACCAGATCTTATCGAAGAGGAGCGTTGAGGTTCATAATGTTAGAGCCACAAATGGACCTGATCTAGCGGCATTCTTGAATGACCTAGAGTTCAATATTACTACTATTTCTAGTATGAGCTGTGCTCAATTGCGAGGTCTCGGGACTTTAGTTACAGGGAATCCTGGCTTCATTGATTACAGAGTCACTTCTTTGTCAAACTTTGCTAACTATTCTTGTCTAAACACCACCAAGGGGCCTACAATTACTCTTAAGTGCAACAACTGCCAGCTTACTCGAGACATTTTGTACGTCTCCTGGCAGTTCATTGATCTTCCCAATAATCCAGCAGCTGCCATTGGCTTTCAGTTCAACCTTACTGCAAAGAGCCATGCAGATAAGAAGCATTTGAGTTTTGTCAGTGGAACGCTAAAAAATGCCAGCAACTTTGATGACAAACCTGTTACCTTCAGAGGGGCCTTCCCAAATATACTGAAATTCAATTTATGTCCTAGAATATACCATAATTTACGAGATCTAAAGCTCATCCAACCTCTTTTTCATGAGTTTCTCCCCGGTTCATCTTTTAGTGAGATAAATCAGCTTCAAACGTCTCTTGAAAACTCCAATGATGGATTTATCAACACTACATTGTATGTGAATTTCCTCTCTTCATATATTGTTGAGATTGATGATCAAAATATTTTAGGACCTGGTGAGTAATTTCCATAAACTTATATGCTCTCTTATTTATATATTCTCTGAATTTTATTCCTTGCCTTGCAGATTTTAAATCCTACTACCTTGTGCAGTGCATTATCATGTTAACTGAAGTGCGGGTTTCATATTATTTGGAGAAAAAAATTCACTTTGCATCAATTGTTGAACTTTGTTGAGATTACGTGAATTATATGTTTGTGACTTTGTGTTTAAATGAAGTCCTTATAATTATCTGTTTTAATTCATTATCTGCTTTTATGGTTCTCAGAGTTGACGTGCATGCTTCCTTTGTAATTTCCCTTCTCAGTTATCAATATCACAAACATGGGATTATTGAAACTACATGCTAGTGGCAGTTTTGGCAGGCTTTCTTTGCAATGCAATATTTTTTAAAAACTACCTTTTCTTATTACAAAATTGAATTTATAACAAGAAGCAGCTAGTTAATTACTGTAAGGAGCAAAGTCCACAAAAGACAGCAAGAACATAGTCATATGCTTGCCTAAGAATGCAAAAAGGAAGCTTCGAAAGCTTCTTTTGACAGATTCACATGAAGAATGGTAGAACCCCAAATTCAGTTTGAGAAAGCCTCAGTGCATTTATCAATAGGTTTACCTCCAAATAACTCAGTGGCTGTAATGAATATGCTGATGGAGTTTTACATTTTTCAATATTTGGCATGTCAAGGTGTGTGTCTTATTTTTGTTTTCCTCTAGCACAACATCAACGTAACCTTCATTCAATGAAGTGGTATAAGTCAAGGTTCTTGATTTTAAAATTTAGATGACATTGCTAGTGTTTGTTCCCTCTCTTCTTATTGTTCTTCATGTTTCAAACAATTACTTCCTTATCCAGAAGGCTTTACAAAGTTCCAACTTTCTCTGCTCTAAATCAACAGTAATTGTGTTTTAAAACAACAGTAATTGTGTTTTATTGTGCACGCCACTGTTTACATTACCTGAGCTTAAACTTCTTCTGATCCTTGGCCCCTTGAAACCAATTACCCTTGTAAATGTTTGAATCCCAGGATAGTGCGTAAGTTTGTAATAAAAGCCTCTTGATCTTGCTGACCTAATGAATTTGATCTAGAAGCTTAAGAGGTCCACTTGTTCAACATTACATTGGTTTGTTGAAGAACATCATATTCTTATTTTTTTTAGTACTGTGGTGGAAGAACATGACAAGAGATGTAAAAGTAAAGAAATAAGCATACTTAGACACTGTAAACTGCTCTCCCAGTGAAAACTTTCTGTTCCATTTTCTCCTTAGCCATTTAAAGGGATAAAAGCTGACGCTTAGGTTATATGGTTTGATTTTGCTCACTTCTTTTCAACTGATTAGAATTGTCATGCTTGACCCTAGTACATTATCGTTTTCCCATCTCAAGAAAAAAGAGAAATAGGAACTCTTCAATGGAATTCAGATGAAATAGCAACAGAAAGAGAAGAGCAAAGGCTTCCCCCTCTAATTCCACACCACTTTCCAAAATTCGATCTTCTCCCAGCTACTGTTTCAATCTCGTTCATTAAAGAAATGCTGTGTAAAATGTGAAATATTTTTCCAAGGATACCTAGTTGAAAATCCATCTGCTTCTTTTGTGTCTGGTACATTGCTATGCAACTTATACTTACTCTTAAGCCCCGTAAATTAATTGGATTTTGTACCAAAGGGAATCTCCTTCCACTTGGCAATTTCCTATATTTGCTATATCTTTTGTGTTTCAAGTTCCCCGTACCTAAACCATATTTACTTGTCGATTTTGAAAATTCCAAGCAATGAAATGCCCTTTTGTCATATCTTCCTTGCTTTTCACAAAATGGCTCTAAACAATTTGCTAGAAACATAACCCTTTCCTACTCTCAGAAAGAGAAAAAAATAATGCTTGATTCTTCAACTCTGCCAATGTGTCACCCATCCAACCTCTTCATGACATTTAGCCCCTGAACAATTTGGCTAAATATGTTTTTATTAGATTTTGATAAAATTTGATGAAACATGTGGTTAAAAAGTTGATGAAAGTTGTGGATCCCAAAAAATTTGTGGTTGAAAATGAGCTTGAGTAAAAATGAGTTTTAAAATATAGGAGGGCAAACAAGGGTGATGGTTTTTTTATCTGGCAAGGTGCTACGTGAAGCATCCAAATCCGGGATCTCCGCTTTGGAAGACAAAATCCCAAAGTTCTATTTTAATTGGTTCACCCCTCAACGGAATTCAAGGAACTTTAATGGACGTCTCCTCAGTCCACAATTCTATTCTGCCACTATCTTGCCCTCTTTAAACACTCAAGGAACTTTAATGGACATCTCCTCACTCCACAATTCTACTCTGCCACTACCTTGCCCTCTTTAAACACTCACTCTGGTCAAAGTTTCTCAAGTCTAATTAATTATTAAGCCAGATAACTAACTGAAAGCTTATAAATTTATTGTAGTATTTTTTCAGCACCACTCATATGAAAGATGTTATTTGCAAGTGTAATATCATTTACTACACAAGATGCATCACCTTGAGCTGAACAAAATCTTTTGACCAAGTCCTACCATTCAATCAACTCCCTACGTTACAAACTTTCATCCTGCTTTTGCAGGTTAATAATGCAATTTATAACCCTTCTTTGACTACCTCAAAATGAAATAATCTAGAACTGGTATCACTTTTTTTGGTTGCTTGATTTTTGTGTTTTGTCTCAAAGACATTTCCTCTCTCGCTAAAAGATCTTCAAATTTTCATTTTAAAGAGCATATTTCTTCTTTAAAATCCTGACTGAAGTCAAATGTGTTTCATCTTCGTCCAACTGAATCCTTCTTAGAAACATTGACTTTCTTTTTAATTTATTCTTTGCAATTTTTAAGCATCTACATAAATTTGTACCCCTGCCAAACATGAAGGATGCCCTTCGACCACCAGTATGAAATTGCATAGCTTATGATCAAGCCGCTTGTTTGCCCATCAAAATGGAGTCGACCCTGACTTAAAGTTGAATAACCAGTTTCCACCAGACAATGATTGTGAAGTTTTCATTCTTTCGTTGGCAGGTCTATCAATTCTTTTGCTATGATAAATTTATCAAACTTCTGCATGGTTTTATTAAAATGCAGTTGGCACGCCATTGCTACATTGAAATCTCTGCTAAACACCAAAACTTACAACGTACGGATGTTATACCGATCAATTCAGCCCAAAATAGACATAGCACTCTCTAACCGTTGTGACCATAGACACATGAAAGCCACCACTGAAACTTTTGTTTTTGTCAAATTTAAGATCATTTTCTAAACTAGTTTGACTGGTTTTTTTCTTGTTCTTACAATGGTTAAAATTAGGAAAATGGCTGGAATTGAAAATTCGACTAGATTTAAATTCAGAGTAAGCTTTGGACAACAAATTATTTCTAGATCAATTCAGCCTGCAATTCTGAACTAGTTTGACTGGTTTTTTCTTGTTCTTACAATGGTTAAAATTAGGAAAATGGCTGGAATTGAAAATTTGACTAGATATAAATACAGAGTAAGCTTTGGACAACAAATTATTCCCAGATCAATTCAGCCTGCAATTCTGAAAAGCCCACTTCTTTCCTTGTTAGAAGTTGCCACCATAGGAAGTCCATTACTGTACCGCACCAATTCCATTGCCTTACTATTGCTAATCTGCTGCTCCAAATTCTTGATTCCTCATGCTTCGCATGTTCTTTAATTAACTCCAGCTCAGATAACTGACTCTGAAAATTACGTGCTTCCTGGGAGCTTGTACGTTTTGAAATTCTGACCTTCCAGCTTCATATTATCCAAAGCTGCCACCCTTTTCTTCTCTGATCTCATGTCACCTACTACAATAGGACTCTCCCTACCATTGTTTTCCTCAACTCTGTCTCTGGTGGATGCATTTTTGTCCAAGGGGAAAAACCCAGCTTGATTCTTTTGTTTCCACACAGGAACTCCATAACTGGTGGAATATAGCCATCTGTCAAACCTCTCGCTCTAATAATAAGAGCATCTGCCCATGCATTAATCTTCTTTCTATCTTCCTCGTTCTGAAAGCTGCAGCATTGTCTTATCAGCTAAAGGGGGAGTAATGTTTACCTACCTCATCAGCTTCAAGGAAAGGCCATTCTGATTCTGCTCTGTAGATATTTTGAATGTAATTTAATTATTGTTTCTTTTGTTTTTAAGGCTTTATTTGCTTTCTTTATCATGAGAATCAGGCTTCGCTTGGAGTATTTCATCTTTGGAAATTATAAACTTGCTAAATTATTTGGCTGAGGACTTTATAAGTTTGTCATTCCGGTTTTGACTCCTAATTTCATTACCTTTGAGTTCTATTTTCTGTAGTCAGTAATTTGACTTACATTTTTCTTACCAACAATGCAGTTAGCTTCCTTGCTGATTTGGGTGGCCTTTATTGCACTTGTATTGGTATTTTTTTCTTCTTCTTGGTCCAAGTACGTTTCTAATCTTATATTTTCCTGTTCCATTGGTTTTTTCTTTTTCTCCAGTTATAATTGATTATCTGCAATGTTCTGTATAATTTTTCTTGCATTGCCAACTTGTCCATATTTAGCTCATGAATATTTTTTTTCAGCAATTACTTTATCTTAGCTTGCTTGCTATTCACTTGATCCTCTCTGGTAAAGTTATCTTCTTTTGTCATGGAGTTCTACAGGCACTTCTTACTAGCTTGGATATAGTCTTGTGCACACAAGAATATGTATAGATCCCCTAGTTGTGATTTAGAGAATGTAACTGGTATGTCTCCCTCGTTTTGTACTAATAATATTCCTGTCAATGGACATTAGACAAGGTACAGGTTGATGCCAAACCTCCCACGTAGGCACGCGGATGTTACTTGAAAAACAGAAAAGAATAAGCGCAAAGGACTCAAAGCACTCAATAACTTCTTTAGCTCGTTTAATTTGAAGAGAGTCTAACTACTACTAATAACTGTTGACTTCAAATTCTAATGAGAAATAAGCAGTTACTACTGATCTTTTCAAGCCAAAGAGGATACTAGTCGAAATTGCAACCTTCGGATTTTTCAATAAATATTCTCATTATCGAGTGAGGTAACTTTTTACTCTTGCTTTGATAGCCTTGGAAGAATGCAACAGGTGTTTGATTATGTGTTGGCATATGTGTGATGATATGTATCTGAAGGAAAATGCATCAATAGTGGCCAAAGTCATTGCCATTTTGGTGTACAATACAACTTGCGGTCAACATGTTGCAAAAATATTACTTCAAAAAAGTTGAGATTCAGATCAATTGTGGTTCGGAAGCGAAATTAAAATTCTTGAAACAAGGATAAAGTTGAAAAACTCGAAAATATGTAGAAAATAACTGATAATAATGAATTGGTAGCTTGGAAAGTGTACAAATTTTTTGTTTATATAGGAACAAATTTTATTTTTTATAATTATTAATTATTTCACCAATATAAGAAAGAAAACTAAAATCCTAAAAACAAAAGAAATCCTATTATAAATAAGAAAGGAGAAGAAAATGAGATAAAGCTTTATTAAATAAAGAAATATTTTTATAAATAACTAACTTCTATCCTTTTTAAAATAGGATTGTCATACTTCAATCACCTTCGCTTGGAAAAACCTCATTCTCGAGTTCGGTTGAACAGGAAAAATTTAATTTAGGAAGAAAGATATCCAAAATTTCTACGTCACATTGTAAGAATTCGAACCTAGCTTGGACTTGTGGAAAATCTCTAGCCACCTGTTGTCATGTTCTGGATTCGTTGAAACAATCAACATTCATAGCAGTCAGAATCTGCAAATGTTTGTTCACAGCATCTTCAAACTTATTAATCCTTTGCTCCAGATTTTAGATCAGGTTTGGTAATTTGCAATCTATCGATCCTCATTACGAGGATGCATATCACTACCACCATAGGCGGCCATGAGCTAAGGGAAAATGTTGCTCTGATATCAATTTTAGTGCAAAGGCGGACTTAAAATTCTTGAAACAAGAATAAAGTTGAAAACTCGAAAATTTGTAGAGCATAAGTTGATGATAACAAATTGGTTGCTTGAATGGTGAACGACTCCTTTGCTTATATAAGCAAAATAATTCCCTAATTTTACTAGTGTAAGGAAAGAAACGAAAATCCTAAAAGAAAAAGGATTCTATTCTAAATAAGAAAGAAGAAAAAGAGATAAAACCATATTACAACAAGAAATCCTATAATAAATAAAATAACTAACTTCTATCCTACTTAAAATAGGATTATCCTATGTCAAATTGAAAAGCCAATAAAGGCCTGAATATCCTGCACGTTGTTACACAAATGGGGAAAAAGAACACGGTTTATTGTCTGTGAAAAAGTTGAAAACAAGAGGCCTCACATGGCACTTTTTCCAACATTTGATTCTTTTGGTTTACAATTATGAAGAGCGAGCATATCCATCATTGCAAAATAGGTGAGTGCTAATAGCTAGTGTCAGTTATGCATGTCCTTATAGAGAGAAAAAAATTGATATAAACAACTCAACTTGGCTGATCCCATTGAAACTGATTTGGTTTTTCCGTTGGTTTATTTGATTTTGATGTTCACATGTTTGCTAATTTTGTTATATTGAATCCAATATGTATTATGCTTTCAGTCTTGAGAAATTAAGTTAAACCTAGTTCGAGCCGTGAAACTTCTCTTCAAACGTCAAAATCAAATGAAACCAAGAAGGGGCATTCCTCAGCTTGAGGACAATCTCTCAAAAGTAATTAAATTAAAAGCATGTTTGGGAAGTCTTTAAAAACGGTTTTAATTATAAACAGATAGAAATGAATGGTGGATAAGTGGGTCCTCGAAATGTCTGTATAAGAAGTGGTTTTAGTGTTTATAAATAATTTATAAACATGAGCCAAATGGGCTAAGATGTCAAACCTTTTCAATCCAAATTAAAGTGTCTGGGAATAGTGATCTATCTTCTGAAGCATATACTCTTTCAACCTAGTGAATAAAAAATTCAAGTCTAAGTGTTAGAGTAGCATACTGAGTTGTGTACTTCTCTGATTCTCCTGCTAGTTTTCATTTATAGTGTGAGCATAGAATCAAGAGGCTTCGCAATGAGGATAGCATAATGCGAAAGATCAGAAATCGTCGTAAAGCTCAAGAACGTTGGGAGAAAGTGAGTTTTCTTATATTCCTCAAAAATGGTGAAGAATTAAGGGCCTGATTTCACTTTAACGCTCTTCGATTTTTGGATTTTATTCTTATTATTGTTCTGATTGAATCTGCTAAAGTAACTTTAACTTGATTATATCTTTATATAGTTGAGAAAATATGTGATGTTCACATGGGGATCTAGCTCATTGGATGACAAATTTGGTACTGAGAAAAATATGGCATGTCTCCCTGCTGTTGGGATGGAATCATTCCACCCAGGTGGGCCTTCCCATAGACGAAGGCTGTCAAGCAGGATTGATGGTGTTAGTTTGAGCAGAAAGGTAAGTTTTTCCAGTGCGGATATGGTGAAAATTTGTGTCTGAGCAATACTAGTATATGGTCATGATATCATCTTGTATTGATGTTATGAATTTATCTTATGCCCTTAATTTTATAAATGGATCACTTCAGGTTGGTGTGCCAGACAATGTTCAAACTCAAGAGTTTAAATCTTGCTCAACTCATCATGCACCAGACCTGGAACCGAGGAAACCATGTTCAAGAAATGAACCAGTGAGTTACAGTTATTTTTGTTTCTTTTTCCAATGAGAATGTTCTATGTTTTAGATCACTTGTTGACCACCTAGGATCAATTTGAGAGGGGGGGGGGTGTCAATTGGATATGGACGTATTGTACGAACATATTTAAGGCAACTAATTTACAGTCAACATTAAGAAAAGATACATTGTATATTAGCGGTAGATTTCCACTGCAATTGGTAGGAATTTATTTTCTTTCTATACATGTACAGTGATGGCTGACTTTCGGCATTGTAACGAGGGCTATTGCTCCTATTTATACAAAGAAACCCTCACAATGAGGATTATCGAGGGAAAAGACAGAAAATATAAGATTTTTGTCATGGTATCACTGCTAAGTTATTTGAATTAGGATTCAATTTTGAGTTTCAGGCTATTTCGATAGCCTTCTGGGATATTCCGATATCTTCATGTGGTAGTCGGAATTTGTTCGTGATCCTGGGACAGTCGGAGCTTGCTTGCGAATTTCTAGGGCAGCAGATTTTGGTTGCTCTCTGGTCGGTGTGCACTGTAGTGGCCGACGCTTGCCAAATCATCTTCGGGTGGTCGAATGCTAGCCGGAATCTGTGGTGACCAGAGGGCGAGGAATCGGTGAATACAACACTTTTGTGAAAAAGGTATAAATGAGACCTGCGTGCCTTGGATAATTGGGCTCTAGGATTGAACTTTGATATTTTAAAATTGCGTGACTTAAAATCTGGGCCTGCAATAGTTGATTTATTTGGGCCTTGAAATTTTAACTTGAATTGGTTTTGTGAATTTTGTGGACTGCTGAGGATCTATTCTAGGTTCATGAATGATTAATTTGGTCTTACAATAGCGTAGGCTTGCTGGAAAAATAATTAATTATTAGTATTACTATTATGAGTATCATGTCAATCAACATGTCCGACTCTTTTGGAGTGCGCTTTAATTTAAAAATTATTTTGCATGGGAATTTCAATTTTGATTATTTGTTATGGGAAAAGAGTTATGGGGACACATTGATGGAACTGACCCAGCTCCTACTGAGGCCACCAAATTGGCTCAATGGACAGTGAAAAATGCTAGAGTTATGACATCGATTTTAGGATATGTTGATCCTATGATTGTCCTAAATTTGAGACAGGATAAAACTGCTAAGGATATGTGGGGGAGAATTTAAAAAAGATTTACAATTAAGAACAAACAGCCTGATGATTTCAATTGGAGTATGAATTGCAAATTACACACTCAAGGGCAATCTCACCTCCTGGATTACTTTTTTGGGTTTCAAAACTTATGGGGGTGAATTTACTAACATTATTTATGCTAAGGTACCAGCTGAATCACAAGCTGCCATTCAGGTTGTTCATGAACAGAGCAAGCAAGATCAGTTTATGATGAAATTACGAACGAAACTTGAGGCAACTCGCTCAAATTTGATTAATCGTGATCCGCATCCTTCTTTGGATGTATGCTTTGGGGAGTTATTCCGTGAAGAGCAACGTCTCACAACACAGTCCATTTTTCAGCAGCATCACATGACTCCTAATGTTGTCACTTACGTAGCTCACGGGAAAAGCAAGGGAAGGGATATGCAAAAGGTCACGCTTCAGCTGCAAGGACTATGGACCTATTGCTACTCATTGTACTAAGAAGTCTTGCAATTATTGTAAGAAGTCGGGACATATTATCAAAGACTCCTACTCGACCTCGAAATCGTTGGACAAATGCATATCAAGTATCGTCAACACACTGCCTCCTGAGGCATCCTCTGCTGTTGCACAATCCGTTGTTACTCCTGAAATCTATGATGCTCGGACTTGGGTACGGGTATCGGGTATGGGTACGCGTACATATCTAAGTGTCGGATCTTTTATTTTCTAAAATGTAGGATACGGGGACATGATTAAAAAGAATCCAAATTTCGGACACAGGTACGTGGGTACGTCTTTGAAGCTTCAATTTTTTTTATTAACCTAAGATGTCACTTTGAATAGGTTAAAATCAATAGTTCACAAAAAAGGAAATGAGTATTAAATAAGATGTTAAGATTAATAAAATACAATTTTGGGGTTTAGTTTTCAATTATAGGAAACGGGAAAGAAAAGGAAAAGAAAAAAGAAGTAAAAAAGGGCGAAATGTCCGGTTTAAATTTAAAGGATCCGACACATATCCCATACTCATACCCACGTCGTGTCGTGTCCAACTCGGGTACTCCAACCATTTCGAAGAGTCCGAGCATCAAAGCCTGAAATGGTGCAACAAATGATTGTATCTGCTTTTTCTGCTTTAGGACTTCAAGGTAAGCATAATACTTCATCTTGGTCTTGGCTAGTTGAATTTGGTGCCTCCGCCCGTATCAAGGCTCGTCTCATATTCAAGTAGCTAATGGGAGTCATTTAGCTATTGATAACATTAATTCTGTTTTTCAAGATGTTTTCATATCTCTTGGTTTGTCTAAAAGTCTTATTTCAGTTGGCCAACTCGTTGATAACAACTGTGATGTTCATTTCTCTCATAATGGTTGTTTTGTGTAGGATCAGGTATCGGGGAAGATACTCGCGAAGGGGCCTAAAGTTGAAAGATTGCTTCCAGTACATTTTTCTATTCCTAGTTGCTTATCTTTGGCTTAAATGACTGTTAACAAAAAAAGTGAACTCCGGCACAAACGCTTGGGCATTCCAAACTCTACTATTTTGTCTTATTTATTAAATTCTGGTTTGTTGGGCAATAAAAATAATTCTTCTCATAATCTGTGCTTTGATTGTTCTACATGCAAATTTGGAAAGAGTAAGATTCTTCCTTTTCCTTCTCATGGTAGTCATGCTGAAAAGAGCTTTAACATTGTGCATAGTGATGTCTGGGGTATTACGCCTATAACCGCTCATGCTCAGTATAAATATTTCATGACTTTTATTGATTATTATAGTAGATACACATGGATCTACTTTTTCCGTTTTAAATTTGATGTACTTTCAATCTTCAAAACTTTTGTGACATATGTTGAGACCTAATTTTCTACCAATATAAAAATTTTACGATTTCATTCTGGTGGGGAATACATCTCGTGTGTGTGTGTGTGTGTATATATATATATATATATTTCATGATTTCTTAAACCAGAAAGGTATTGTATCTCAACGATCATGCCCTTATTCTTTGATAGGCCTCCTATATGGTTTACCTATTCTAGAAGAATTCAAAAGTGGGAAGGAGGAGCTATTGGGGGAAAATAACAAAAGGTGTTATAGTAGGGGTGACTGGCAGAGTTGGTTAGAAAAGGGTTATAACTAGGAAGAGGAAGAGTAGACAAGGTAGGCAATTTTAGAGAGGGAGCGAGGAGTTCATTAGAGTGTGCTGCCTTATCAAGGCACCTACTATCTTCATGGAACCGGATGTATTATAGGGAAATCAGCACCTACAAATCAATTCCAAAATAATCATCAAACACCTTAGACGGGAAAGGCATCAGAAGGGTCTGGGGAAGCAAGTAATAACAGTGGGTATGACTCATTACTGGGAGTAATTGGAGGCGGGTAAGGAAGCTAGAAATGCCCATATTTATTGGGGAGAATCCCGATGGGTGGTTATTTCGGGCTGAACAACACTTTAAAGTAAATGAGTTAATAGAGAAGGAGAAGCTCGGAGCAATTAGGGTGAGTATGGAAGGAGATGCGTTATCTTAGCTCCAAAGGACAGAAACTAGGACCCCGTTTGCCAATTAGGGACAATTCCTGCAACAGCTCCTGTCGGGATTCCGCTCCACCTAGGAGGGCAGCCTATGCAAGAAAGTTCTCGCCGTTAAGCAGGGAGCTCTGTGGCCGAATTCAGGAAGTTGTTCGAGGCGTTGGCCGCACCATTGTCGAGAATGTCAAAAGAAGTGTTGGAAGGCATGTTCATCAACGGATTAAAGCTAGAGATTCTGGTTGAGGTCTGGTTACTCTGTGCAAATGGTCTGGCCCAATTAATGGAGATGGCCCAAAGAATAGAGGACAGGAATTTGATTACTCAGCCCATGAAAAAGAACCCAGCCTATAATGTTAAAATGGGTTTTAACCCAAATCGCATGGAGGGAAAAAGGGGCGAGGCCTTTCTTATGAGATTGGTGATGGTAGAAGAACAGCTGACTGCACCCAAGCGAGAATACACCACCCGCCTTATGACAGACACAGAATTAAAGCTACGACGGGAGAAGGGGTTATGCTTTCAGTGTGATGAGGAGTACACCTACGGACATCAGTGCAAAAATAGGGAGTTAAGGATTTTGTTAGTGCAACAAGAAGAGGAGGGTGACGGCAAGGGGGAGGAGCCACTGGCGAAGGAACAACTAGAAATCGTGGCAAAAAAAGTAGAGTTATCCTTGAACTCAATGGTCGGGTTGGCTACTCCAAGGATCATTAACCTTAAAGGTGGGGTTGGGGAGTAGTCGGTAACTATCTTGATCGATTGTGAAATAACATCGTAAGGAGGGTGATCTTCTCGATCCCACTATCTTTCGGCAATTAGTTGGGAGCCTCAATTACTTGACCATCACCCTACCCGATATATCATTCGCTGTCCAGCAAGTCAGTCAATTTATGCAAGCTCCGCGACATCTCCATCTCGGGGCTGTTAGCTGCATCATTCGGTATCTTTGGGGTACTTCTCGTCACGGATTTTTTTTCTTGCTGGCTCTCCTATTTGTCTTATGGCATTTAGTGATGTGGATTGGGCCGGGTGCCTTAATACTCGTCGTTCTGTTACAGGGTAGTGTATGTTTCTGGGTGATTCTTTAATTTCCTGGAAAAGTAAAAAGCAGGCCCGGGTGTCCAAATCATTGGCTGAATCCGAATATCGTGCCATGTTCATTGGGTGGTGTATGTTTTTGGGTGCCTTAATACTCGTCGTTCTGTTACAGGGTGGTGTATGTTTCTGGGTGATTCTTTAATTTCCTGGAAAAGTAAAAAGCAGGCCCGGGTGTCCAAATCATTGGCTGAAACAGAATATCGTGCCATGTTCACTGCTTGTTTTGAGATTGTTTGGCTTCGTGGATTGTTAGCTGAACTTGGCTTCCCTCAGTCTGAACTTACTTCTCTTCATACGAACAACACAAGTGCTATTTAGATTACTGATTCGGTATTTCATGAGCGTACAAAACATATTGAAGTGGATTGTTACTTTATTAGAGAGGCTTTCGACACTGATAGTATTTCTCTTCCACATCTCGACTAATATTCAGATTGTCAATGTATTCACCAAAGCCTTGACACGACAACGCCATCTCTTTCTTATGAGCAAATTGATGCTTGTTGACCACCTAGCATCAATTTGAGGGGGGATGTCAATTGGGTATGAACATGTGCTGTACGAACATATTTAAGGTAACTAATTTACAGCCAACAATTGAGAAAAGATACCTTGCACATTAGTTGTAGATTTCCACTGTAATTGGTAGGAATTTATTTTCTTTCTATACATGTACAGTGATGGCTGACTTTCAGCATTGTAACAAGGGCTATTGCTCCTATTTATACAAAGGAACCCTCACAATAAGGATTATTGAGTGAAAAGACAGAAAATATAATATTCTTATCAGTTTTGTTGGAATTAAAACTGTGAGACTTAACAAGGCAGAAGCATAGTTTTCGAACCATGAAGATCTTATCCATTTTGTTTATATTGCCTTGCTACGAGCCTCCAACTGCTAGATCTTCTCAGATATTCTCCAAGTAGAATTACTGTTGGGCGTGCACACCTTCAAAATAGAGCTTGGACTGGATCTTGGACAGGACAGGAGAAAACGCACACTGATAGTTTAGTGCATGTTTGAGAGAGAGAGAGAGGTCAAAAAATTGTCGTGTTGGGCCCCTAACCCTAGAATAAATAGGATTCAATCTCTTGAAAACTCTAGTCTTCTTAGACCTATCGAATTCAATCTCCCACGTGTAGCCCTAACACAAGGAAATACCATTGCAGCTCATAACTAAATGGTGTTATCCAGGGGACCTAATGGACCCTTGTAATCAAAGCTCTGATGATTAGAGTAAGATTCGTAGTTAGAATTCTGTGTATTATGGACATTTATACCATTATCATCAAGTGCAATGAGTTTATCACTTAGTGAATTCTTCTTGAACATACAAGTGCCGCTTATGACTAAATGGTGTTATCCAGGGGACCTAATCGATCCTTGTAATCAAAGCTCTGATGATTAGAGCTAGATTCGTAGTTAGAGTTCTGTGTATTATGGACATTTATATTCATAGTTAGCACTTAGTGAATTGTCCTTGAACATCCTGGATCATCTGCCAAGGGTTTAAACTGGCGCAACAATTTTAGCTGGTGTACTTTGCTACTGGGGCACAACTGGAAGATGGTTTAATGTTATTGCAATGTTTTTAATTTTGTTTGTTTCTTTGCAAGGTAATGTTTTGATTGAAAGTTTCTTCTCAAATGTGAAGCTATTGGGCTCCGCTTATGTTTTTGTGATCTCTAAATTCAGGAAGATCTGGTCCATGGAAACTTAGAAGTTGGAAAAGATGAGCTTATTGTTGGTTCATGTCAGGTAGATTTCTTCTGTAACCAAGCATCTCCAGTGGTTGATGTTAATCTTCCACCACCTCCACCATTAGGTGAGTGCTAGATTCAAAAGTTCAGGTTTTCCATGTTTGAAGTGAGATGTATGTTTACAAGTTACGACCCCCACCCCTCGCGTTTTCCTTGCTTCATTAAGTGATCAGATATGAAATCATACATATATAGATGTTTCCAACACCAATAATAACTACTTACCAAGCGAAGAAAAGAACAGGATGGTTAGATGCCAACCTAACAGTTTTCAAATTCGCTTTTTGATTTTAAGATATTTGTTTCACTTTTCAGTACTTTGAAAGTATGAGGAGTGGCTGGAATTACCATTATTAATTACACTGTGTTACTGACATGCTACATGATAGCCAAATAATCATTAAAGGTAGACTGCTTCCATTATTAGAAGGAAAATGAAAAATCGAATTTAGCACCAGCCAAATGGATGGAAACTTAATGGAAGAGAACAGAGACGTGGAGCATGGCAGGATTATTGAAGACGCTATGTGATGGTAAGGGAGTTGTGCTGCGTGGAGTGTGAAATGGAGAAAAATTGATAAATTGATTGTTCATCTCTATCCATCTTCTTTATTGAGTATATCTGCGACTTCGGGTATGGAGTGCGTGTGTAGTCCTAGAGCTTCTCTTTACAAAAAGGTAATTAGAACCTTAGGCATCATTTAACTATTTCAAGATGAAATTTCAACAGAGGGGAATGGAGAGAAAAGAAGAGTGATTTCGGAAGCAGATCTCACTTAATGTCTGGCACTAGGATCAGTTGTATTAGGACCTAAAAGCTCGGATCTTCATCGCTCTTGGCACATGTTACTATCCCGTGCACTTTTAAGTACTACATTGAGAAAAGGAGCAAATACTATCCAGTTGATTTTGCAGAATAACTTGAAATTTCATTATGCTACTTGAAAAAAAAAAATAATAATAAATAAATAAATCTTTTGTTTTGGTTCGAGTATTTTCCCAATCATGTTTTTCTGATTGTGATTGATTGATTAAGGCTTTCAACTTCAACAGTTCCTCCTTTTCATATTTTCTTATTTTAACCATGTGGGGTGTCACCCACCTGGGGGTGAAGCAGGGAGTGGAAGATTGCTCACAGCTGTCTAGCAGCATCTCATGTTAGTTCAGATACTGAGCAAATCACCTAATTGAGAAGAAACAGATAAATATAGGATATGGAGAGCAAATCTGCTTTGGACATCAAAATATTATAACCTGTACAATCGTTCTTAAAAATTCTTCTGTTATTGAGACCTCTTAGTTGTTCTTCACATTGCCGTTGTTTCTTTTCTTCTGCAGAACTGAAGGCTTCTAATGAAATCAGTATGATTGATCTTCAAAATAACCTCCAAAAGTTGTATGAATATAGTTTCATACTGAGGGAAAAGTTAGTAGCTACCGAGTCAATGGTTCGTGCTTCAGCTAAAAAGGAGGCATCCACGTTTCAAAGCCAGAAATAGTGTTAAAAGCTGTATATTGTGAGTAAAAGTAGCAGCTGAGCATCAGAACACTCAGATTTCTGTCAAATCTCCAGAATGTGTTTCAAAAATTTTGGGGTTATCCCTGGAGGTGTCCCCTAGAAGTATTAAAGGCGTCTTGTATGAAAGCTTATCTTGTACCAGAATTCACCATTCGAGGGCTGTGGTAACTGCACCCAATGTTTTAGGCAGGAATATTGTAGCAATGCAGAGAAGTGATGCAATATTATCACGTTCCGTGGGAAATACCTTTCTGAATGTAATTAGTCAGTGTCAAATAGGCATATATCATAGAGAAGTTGACGGCTGAATAACTTGATATTCTTTGTATTTGTTTCTATTTTTTCTTCCCCTAAAACAGAATGTACAGCTAATCATCAATTAATTTTCAAGCTTGTAATATTGGCGCATGTCCTGATATTTTTATGTTTCGTAGGTCTGGTGTTTGATTTGTAGTCTTGTGAAATTCATTTGGAAGACCGAAACACAGAAAAAGAGTAATGGACATGGAATTGTATGAATAGATGTCAATCACCAATTCCCAAACAAATTGAACAATCAAACTTTGCTATTGTTTATACCTTTTTAAAACAAAATTCTTTAATTCTTGTATTTTCAATCCTATATTCACAAAATAAAATATTTTGCATATAAATACAAAACTTTTCACTACTTTTTAACTCCACATTTTTCAAATAATCACTGTTCGAAATATCATTTTATTCTCAATAATGGCCATCAAACAGAAATCTATGTTCATAACATATAATGCTATAGAATGAACCATATTACATTGAAAAGATTACTTTAAAACATATAGTAACGCATACGGTACGTTAGATAGTGTGGATATAGGAGTGTTCTGGAGCTCTCAAATTATAGAAGAAGAAAGAAAAGATTCAGCATGATTGTTGGAAGGAGGGCAGAGATAAGCTATCATACAAGAATTATATGACCTAGATTTGACTTAATAAACACCATCCTGTTAGGCCCAGGATAAGAAAGTTGTAAGGCCACTGGTCTGCTAAAATCCATCCTTAATATAGCCGAGCCAGTTTCCACGGATGAATATTCCAATTTCGTTACCCAGAATGGACACAAAGCTACCAAAGCTTCTGCCAAATTATGTTATTAGACACAAGACCACCACCATAGAATCAGTCAACAATCAAATGGAAGTGGCTTCTTAAAATCTCATCAAACTCAACTTCATATTCCCAAACATATTGAATAATGGGATGCTTCCTCAATTTAGTTTGGTTATTAGCCTTGTTTCGTTGCACTTAGCTGGGTTACCCTCTCTTTGATGAATCCCCAAGGCATGAGCAAACAATCTCTTTGCAGCTCCCTTAAGCTCTTTTCTAGAAGAGTCATTCTGAATGTTATTATCATCTCTTTCTTCTGCAGATAAATTTATCTTAGAAGATGTTCTTCGACTCCTTTGCTCGTGTACCTTACACCTAGCAGTCTCAGAAAATGTGGTAGATGGGACTTCTGTCTCTGTACAACTGCTCGATTTTATGGACCCTTCCTCAGATTGTTCTTTCACATCCTTCACATGATGTCCATACATTTCGTTATCTCTTGAGCTAAGTTCATGATTTGTCGACTTGATTCTACGGCCAAGAGCATGGGTTATCATCGTCCAGCAACCATAGGATCATTTTGTGGCCTCTGCTTTACCAGCCCTGTCTCACATTCGTCTCTGAAAAAGATCCGTTCCCTGGAAGTAGGAGGAGTTATTTTTCTCTCATGTGATGATTCAGTCGCAGAGTTTTCCCTCAGGCCTGCAAGAGTCACACTGCTTATTTTGGCATTGTTAGGAAAACAAACATATTTACATATATATGTTCAGCTCCTATTCAGGGTAATCATTACAAATAATTAAACTATCTATCCACTTATGTAAAGCTACAAGGCCAACACAATAACATTCACTGATAATGATGTAGGACAATCCGATTATATATGGGATAGAAGTTAGATATTTGTAATAGGATTGCCCTACATCAGATTCATAAAGCATTTCATATAAATAAAGCCAATTATCTAATTATCCACTTTGAATTATCAGATTTTATCTTCGTTACATGCAAGTATATACTGTAACTTAATTTTCATTTTGTCAGATCAAAAAGATGGAAATCTGATGGTTTTCCATGCAATGAACATCCCATATGAAGGAAGAAGAAATATAACCCACACCACCCCTAAGTAAGCTTTGAATACGTTGAGACAATTAAAGCACACATGGAAAACTTGTGGTCCATAGTGCAAAACTAAGCATTGTGAATGCAAACTCTTACTGCTGCTGAAGTTGGCAGATTTTATATAAAACCTACTACTCAGGATATTCTTATCTCCTCCTTTGATCTCATTTTGAAACAAAACAACAAATTGCAAAATAACCTGGCGTTCACAAATAGTGACTAAAGTTAGTCAGAAGTGGCAAAACTAATCACTAGGACAGGCTAGTAATGCTGTCAGAGTATATCAACACCAAACCAGTTGGGGCCAGATGGTGCATGCTGGTTTTGGTTAAATCCGTTTACCTTCTAGGGAGACCAAACTGGGGGGTGGGCGAGGTTCATTCTGTTAACTGAAATTAAGATTTAAAGGCCTCAAACAAGATTAGAACTGCAGACCTGAATGAAATGCAGAGGTATTTAACCACCAGGATACCACATTTTTGTCAATCATAATCATTCCCATTTCATTTATTAAGTAATCGCATATCATTTCAAGATATGATACTGATTCATTCTAAAATTATTTATCTAAAAACTCAAAAGTAAAAGGGCTTATAAGAATGATCATTTACTACTATAGTATTAAATGTATGGGCACGTTACATCATCTTACTACTTTTTCTTTTACATAATGTCTGCTAATTTAACTTCCACAGCCGTGGTGGTATTTAATATTGTTGTATGATAGATTACAATTTTTGGTATTTTTTTATTATTGTTTTACAACGTAATTGTTTGTTTGGCATATTTAGCCCCTATTTGGGCCACATTATTTGAGATGATAATTTTTGGAATAGTATTTTTCTGAAAAATGTGTAGTTAAAGAAGAAGAAAAATTTTTGGATTTACACTTAATATTATTTTATTGGAGAATGTGAAGTTGATAAAAAGAGAGAAAAATGAATTATAATTTTTTTTTGATAGGTAATCAAATAATTTTATTACTTAAAAGAGAATACATGGGGGATGTACAATCACTTTAAGTCATTAAGGAAAAACATGAAATTAGGCAACCCATCTACAGGATTTCTAGCCACAGCATTAAACCAAGAATACAAGGTAAAATAAAATATTTCTCTTATCTGCTCTCTTGTCTTTGTTTGGTCTTTGAAACAACGGTTGTTCCTTTCTCTCCACACGCACCAAACAATGCAGCCCGGGATAAGGTGCCATGCTAGTTTGCTATCCTTATCCCGAAGTTTTCTACGCCATGCTCGTATCACGTCCTCTATACGACGAGGCATTACCAAATCCATAGATTGTGAACTGAGTATACTATTCCAAATCCAACGTACACCATCACAATGAATGAACAAATGATCGATCGTCTCCCCATCCTTCTTGCACATATAACACTACTCGGTTGCGTAAAAGCCTTTACGACGAAGATTATCCACCGTTGAGACCTGTCCCCTCACAACTGTCCACAATAGGAATGCCACCCGAGAAGGCAATTTACACTGCCATACCAACTTCCAGGGGAATGAATTATTCACACATCCCATGAGGGAACCAAAGTACGAGCGAACTGAAAAAATGTCATCCTGTGCTGTCCTCCACCTGATGCAATCCCTCTCTCCAACCCAAATTTGAGCCTCATGTAAAATGGTCATAAACAGCGAATAATCTTCCAATTCCCAATCTTGAAGATCCCTCCCAAAAGTAATATTCCAGCTATAACTCCCATTATGAATGTCTAAGAGATCACTCACCATAGTAGTGGACACTGAGGCAATGCGATGCAAAGAAGGGAATCTCTCCTTTAGCAGCTGATCTCCGCACCAACAATCATCCCAAAATTTAATCTCATTACCATTTCCAACCACAAACTTCAGTTTGTAATTTTAATGAGGACCAAACAGGAGCTTAATAATTTCAAAAATTTTTAGAGCCTGTTTGGAAGTGATTTTTCCCCCCAAAAAAATTGATTTTTTAACCTTTATTTCACTATTTCAGCCGTCATATTTGATTTTTTCTCAAAGGTGGACCTCACTTTTCTTCTAACGGTAAAAAAAATTAATTCTCAAAATCACTCCCAAATAGGCTTTTAAATTACAAATTTATTTGTTTACGCGAATAGGTAGTTCCACTAGTTAGTTATTGACTTTATTCAAAAGGTCAGTGCTCTGGCTATGCTTAATAACTATGGTTCACAATCTCCAATTCTGATAGCACTTTAAAGTTGACAAGATGATAAGTGTGTTTTTACACACTTAATTGGTTCATAAACATGACTTAAACATGAATAAAATGGTTGAATTGTGACTTAATCCAATTAAATTCATGCATTGTAGGTAATTCAATGGAAATTGTGGAATTCAGGAGAAAAGAGCCGAAGAAGGACCAAAACGCAATAATTTGATAGTTCAAGGACGGAAGGTGCAAATATTGAGAAGTTGAGCTAAATGCAAAACGAGAGTGAAAACATGCCAAGTATGAGCTCAATGACAAAGCAAAACAAATGGAAGAAGAAAGTATTGAAGATAGACTGAAATGAAGACAATTGAAAGTTGGAGGACTAAAGCGCAAATACTCAAAAGATGTGCCGAACGAGGGGCATGAGAACTGATGGTGTCAATCATCAATTGGAAGATAAAATTTGTTGAAAAGATGAAGAAATCGAAGAAAGAAGTCAAGAGAAGCAACAAGGAAGTTCAGGGACCAAAATGTAAAAACCACATAGTTGGTTACATCTATGCGACCGCATAGTGTAACCATCTATGCGGTCGCATAGATGGATACAGGGAAAAAAATTGGGCAACTCAAATGACCTATGCGACCGCATAGGTTTCTTCTATGCGGTCGCATAGAAAAAACTTCGGGAGGTTTTCTGCAGTTTCCTTTTTCGACTCCAACTACTTTCTTACCTAAATTGGACACGCTATATATACCCTAAAACACGTCCAGAACGAGGGTAGACATTTTTGGGAGAAAAGAGGCACACAAGAACATCAAAATCCAAGAATTTATGCAAGAAGAAGGAGGATTTCATTAAGATTGAAGATTCCAAGCAACAATTATAATAGGGTGATGTCTTCTCTTTTATTGAACTTTTGTAATTTTCTTCAAAATATGATAGGCTAGGGTTTTTGTTCATTAGGAATTTGATGAACCTTTTGATGATTTAAATTTCCATTATTTCATTAATTCAACAATAGTTTCGTTGGACAAATGTTTGATTTATATGATTTGAATGCTTCCATAATTATTTGGCCAATTGTTATGTGATTGTAGATGATTTGTTCTTTGCATT